TTTGTTTACATTGAAAACCTCTGTTCAAAAGGGTATTTGAAAGATGTATTTTTAGTGCCTCTGGCCTCAAGCAATTTAATCGATCCTTTGTTTACCCGATAAATGACATTTATCTGGCGCGACATCAAAACCGCACGAGTCGATATTCTGCTGTGGAGACCAAACGATAAAGAAGGATCGATAGCCACCAGAAATTATACGTGATCAGAATGGCTCATATAGAAAATCACCACCACGACTCACCTGAAATGAGCTTAAAGTGCTCCTTTCTAAGCTCCATGAATTTGTATTTGCTATTGGTAGGAGCTTTTGGCTTTTTCCTGAATATTTTTCCATGTGTGGTGTGCTACGCGAAGCTTCGGACACGATGCGGTCGAACGAGCAGAGACGTTTTGTTGATGTCACTGATTTTAGTGGACTTTTTAACTGTTTGTATACCAGTGCCGATATACCTCTTGCTGTACAACAACTGCCCTAGAAGTCAGCGGTCAAACCACGTTGAAAGACCGGCGATTTGCGAGATATTTCACCTGATGTTTATGTGGTTCAAGTTGGCATCGCTGTTTATAATTACAACGCTCAACTACACCTCCTACTTAGCCATGACTGCGCGAGGAATCTATCGAAGTATAGGCGACAGAATCTCGTCATCTTTAGCCTGCTCGAGGCACGAGCAAAAACACAGGGAAAATTTGCGAAACTCGTCCCTCGTTATTGCTAATTTAGTTGTAGGCATAGCCATTGTGGCCTTGTTAATTGCCTCGTTGCCTTACATCGGCCTGGGTCCGGAAGGGAAAACACTGACGACGCAATTGCACAGTTCTAAAACTTTACCTAAAGAAAACATAACGATTTTATTTTGTTCCCTGGAGCAAATAAGCTATCCAAGACAGAGCTCTGATTATACGTTTTTATTCGCTCTGTTGATGAGCAGCAGTGCCTGTTTATTACTGCAGATTGTCCACAATGTTCTAGGTTGTTTTAATTGTTCGGGTTACTCTCTGGGCGGTAATTCTGCGATACACACGTCCAAGTCTTTTGTCCTGTACAGTCGAAGACTCGGAGCCGAGAGAGACTTTGCTAAGATGATATGTGTGCTGGGTCTGACATTTCACGTGACCTGGATTCCTGTAATGGTAGGTATCATTTTGATCTAGTTTTTTAACTTAATACCTGTGGACGAAAATATTCTGGTTGATGGAAGATTATGATTTTGTTTCACAAATAATTCCGGCGCCACTTCTTGTTTACTTTGACGCACTGTTATTATCATTGTTAGTTTTTTTGCCCACGCGCGGAGATTTGCTTCACCAATTTTCGCAATCTTTATTCATTTTTTAATACTTTTTGTTATTTACTTTTAAACAGTTAGCCATGAAATAGATTGAAAATACTTGAGGTCTAAATTCGACTCGTGTTGGGGTCTCAGAGTTTTTTCTTTGTACCACGCTCGTGACAAGACGAACCAAAAAAAGTTTTTTTTCCGATAAGAATGGAGTTGTTTTATAACTTCATCCACATACAAGAACTTGAAAGAGAAATGGGCACTCCAAGATAGCGTTTCTCTTGCAATTTCTTTTGCGGCATGATTTGTTTTCAGGCAAGTGTAAGATGCACCAGCTTCGATGTTTTCCTCGTTGTCTGGATTCGCGTGAGAAATTTTTATAAGGAAAATTTCAGAAAGGCTTCCGAAAGACAGATAAAGGAAAATTTTGTGGAAAAGAGGCTCCTAAAGTAAAATTAGTAAAAAATTTTGTTTAAAGACACTTTCTTTTATGACACTTCACCCTCTCAGATCTGTTCACAACTCAGGAACTTTAAGAGAAGAGATTGATTAGTTCATCACTGTTGAGTCTTACTTTGAAAAGCTGGTGGTTGTCAATCGCCAAGAATCGGTCACGGAAATCATGTAGGTTGATGTTATACTCATTAGCCAATAATACTCGATATCAATAAACTGACCCCATCGATTAATCTGTTAATATCGGCGTGAATTGACCAAGAACAGCTGTAATAAATATCAGCAATGCAAACTGGAAAACAACCGATGGAAATCAATGACACTAGAAGCCAAACAATTAATATCGATTGTATTGGAGTGCAATAACTTTTCTCTTTCACCTTTGTACATCGATTTCTGATGTCAATATCGGTTGATATCAAAATTCATTGATAATCAATTTTAATGTTTGGTCAGGCCTGCATGTGTGTGATTGCCAAAAAATATGGGAAGAACCCGTTTTAGGAGCTCGGCATAACAGACGGATTTTTAAATCCTTGCATTTTAACATCAGAATGCATATTCTCCACACTCGGTTCTCCACACATCTCCTTTGGTGCTGAAAAGGAGAATTAATGTAACAATCATGAGATTCTCAAGTTGGTGATCATTCCATCTATTCTCATAACTTTAATGGTTGATTCAGGGATGATATTGTGAGGTGAAATTAGATACTAATCACCCTAAGAGTTAAAGGGTTAAAAGCAGTCAGAGATCATAATCTTTTGCTTAAAGCCAATGTTTAGTTGTTTTAGTAAACACTAAAACGATGGGATGTAATAGCGAGTTCAGTGCTCGCTGGTGAATAGAAACGGATATTCGAAGTTCGAGTAGCCCATAAGAGCGCCCCTTTAACGCTATCCGTTATCCGCTTAGCACAACTATGAGATATTTGGCCAGAGATCAATGAAACAAGATCAGTGCATTGAATTTATGCCAATTTAAAATCTACTTACTCGGATGTTTGCGTTGGTTTTTCATTTTTTTTTCCGGAAATTAATTTTTCCGGTCTCAAGTTAGCTCGAAGAATTAACTTCCAGCAAAATCTCAAACTTACTTTGACTATTTGCTTTTCCCAGGTTGCTGTCGGGTGCATTATGTCCGGTCATCAGATCAGCGCTGAATTCTCCCAATATGTTATAGCAGCATCGTTTTTGTCACCTAGTCTCAACCCTGTTTTCTTCGCCGTGTTTCTTCAGGAGTTTAGAGACGGTTACATGGCAGTATTCCAATTTATTCGTGATAAGATTTTCAGCCTTTGCAAAGGTGCGTAAAGTTAATGAGTCAAACGCCTTAACAACTTTCATTTATTCCCCTTTCACTGCTCAAACTGACGTGTATTTAGTCACTATTTAAGTGTTTAAATGAAGATTTATTACTCTTCATGGTAAGAGAAAATTTCTAACTGAGAGCAAAGGCTAGCGCAAGAATAAGTTTTGATCGTCAGAGATCTTTAAAGGAAACGCTCGTTGAAAGTTTTAGGCTCGATTATCAACCGCTTGTTGGGAAATTAGCCCGCGTTCATTTCCCTCGCAAGACAAGGAAAAACGGCGTAAATCTGAGGATTAAGCATTCTACTACCACTAAATGAAGGACTACTCAAACAACTTTGAAAATTTTCTCAAAGTCTTTGGAGTCGCCTTTAAGTAAAGAGACAATCGAAGTAAAGTTTGCGTAGTGTATTCTTTTCCCGGCAGGATTATTGTTGTCTTGTCTTTATTGGTTTATTTGATTTTTGCTGCTTACAAGCTCAAGAAGGTTCATTTCTCTCTCTTTTCTCTTTTATAGACTGTCTCAAGTTACGAAGTAAGCCGGCAGAGGTGATCACAACTTCAGTGACATCATCCGGCATTTCTGCGGGAAAGGGCGAGCAGGTTTAAAGCTGTTAAATGTCCTGTCACAGTTCGACCGATGATATTGATAATAGTCCACATTTAAGGATTGTTTACAGCCTGTGTGTACTCGCCTGCGCTCGATTTAGTTGTTCCCGGACTTAACATCAAGGAATCATTCGTTTTGCTCTAGGAACAAACTAAGAAGTCTGAAACAGATTGGCTGACCTCTGTATTTGTTCCATTATCATTCAAGGCATAAAACTGTAGTCAAGGAAAGTCTTGAAAAAGAACTCATGTAGTTAGTTACATTTTTCATTCTTTGGTCCGTTCTACATCCCATCTGAAAGAATAAAACTGATTTCCCCGGTGTTATGATAAATTTTTAGATAGATTAAGTTAGTTTTGTTTGCCTGAGTTATGGCTCCTCAAGGGAATTAAGAATTTTTCAGTTACAAAAAATAAAGACATTAAATATGGTTTGGCCATAACCGACAACTGTTTGTTTTTTTTCATTATTTGCGGTTCCATTGAAACGACATCTTTCGTGTAGATTCTTTGAAATGCAATATTGGCTAACCTGAAAAGAGTGTCTGATTTTATTTCATTGCGATTGTGTGTGTGTTTTCCTCAAAATAACGCGCCTGGAGGAAACCGGAACTCTGACATTTTGATTCTTTGTTTTTCCTTTCGCGCTGAAAAAAAAAGGATTTGAACTTTTCGTTCGTTTGCGTTGATCCACATGTTGAGTAAGGTCAATGTTTATTCGACGACAGGCTTATAAAACAAACGGCGTGGATTAAAAAAACTTACCCATTGAAAACATAATGAAATGAATACGTTCTTCTCACAGAATCATTGATGACCTTTGCTTCAGGGGAAGGCCAACCCAGTCTACGAGATGGGGTTTTTTTCATTGGCAACTAGTAATCGCTAGACCTTGCAGTGCTACCTGCACTAAAACCGTTGAGATTTGATCGAAAATTGAGTCATAATCTCAGTTTTCTTGACTTGGATATATCTTTGTTCGTTCGGAAACCGAATCTAGTCTCATTTTGGGCAGATCTGTCCGATTTCGATATAATTTTTGCGTTTGATAGCAAAAACTCCAGAGCTCAACAGCTCTAAACGTTCATTCTGATTTTTGACAAATTTCAAGTCTCACGTTTTCATCTCAGCTCCTTTAGGGCGATTTTTCCTGGGTTCCAAAGGCTCCGACCAGTTCTGGGAGGTTTAGTCCGATTTCGGATGGGTCGTCTAATTTCGAACTTTTCCCCAACGTTCTGATTTCGGACGGTTTTAATTGATCTCGAACAGTTCTGTGTGTTCTGGGAAGAGCCTGTTTCAAGCGTCGAGCTAGTAAAACGGAGCGGTTTTATCCGTTGTTTTCGGATTATTTCCAATGGTTTGATAACTCTTATGTTTCGACTGTTCCACGGTTTGAGAATGTTTTCTGTCAAGGAAAAGCCAGTCAGAAAGTTAACCAGTCATTGTGGATATTTCCAATGTAATAAGATGTGTAACTTTTGAAATAACAACATCATCCGATCCCAGCAGGCGGTTCGACATCAGAAAACAGCCGAGAGATAGGAAAAGTTAGCGCAGTTTTATTTGTAACATCTCCTGCTGATTAAAAGTACACATGTATCATTTGACACAAAGTTAACCCAAAAAACCCGCTATATGTTGTCTCGCGGCACTTGGGTTTCGTTGGGGTTTATTATATATGCTAACAACAAAAGCTAAGTCAGCTGATAGGTTCAACTGCTGGATTACAGTCTCCACACAACATCATTGTTAATAAAGCAAAGAAAACTACAGAAGCTCAGACTCTTGACTCAAAGATGCAGCCTGAGCAAAGCCATTTTAATGGCATTTTAATGACATCTTAAAATATGTCGTCATTGCGAAGCCTTCATTAACAAATACAATGGTAAGAGAAGCTTCTGAATTTGTGACTTTATTCCATCTTCATACAGATTCTATACCTGAAAATTAAGTAAGAAAGTGTATTATTTGCGATACAATAAATGACTTATACCCCATTCATACCAAAGCTTTAAAATGTTTTTAAGTTGTTTCAGTTAGACCTGTTTGACATTTTTTTCCTTGAAGTCGCTTAAACAGATGTTTATCGACCTCAAATTTAATACATTGAAAATAAAGTTAAGCGACTACTTAAAACCTATGCAAAACTCAGTTTTTCATTTCTTTTTTTTTTAATTTCCATTCAGTTAAACCCGACTTAACAAAGAATGTTTTGCTGATGTGGATGAGGTATTAGTTTATTTTCCAACACAGGGGTGTGATTATACTATATACTTTGCATACTTTACAGGGAGATATAATGCCCTCCTCTTTATTTATATAATAATTGTCCTAACCAGAATTTATTTTACTTGATTGAATTTCAAACGATCTATTCACTTACCATATTTTTTCCTGATTTCGTCACGTTTCTCTTGCCTTTCTTTTTCCCTAAAAGAAGGCAGAATTAATTTAAATTACCTTATAACAAAAAAGATAACTGAAATCGTCATCAACTTGAAGGTTGTGTATCATATATATAGTACCTTTCCTTGTGTTTATCGGCTATTTTTTTTCTCTTCCGATGAGACTTGACCTCATCTTTGTCAGTCCTAGATAAAGAAAATCAATCTTAAGACAACTTCTCACCTGAGGAGTTTTGAAGGATAGGTGTGATCTTTACTCGCATGCTTACACAGAAAACGAAAGATACGAGTGCAGAAACATTATTAGCAGAGAGGGTGAGCAGGAAAAGGCTTTCCTCGAAAACATAACAAACACGAAAATTTTTACGAGGAGCCACATTCCTCTCTTTACGACAATGCAGAGCTTATTGCCAGAAAATTGTCTCGGAAAGATACAACCCAAAGTGATCCTCTCATAAATCGTTTTACCTGGCGGATCGCGCCTGGCGAAACATGTTCAAGGACTTATCGATCTACCGGCGCAATGGACTGTTAGCAACGTGAAGAGGTTTGCTTGTGCCGACAAACTACGCCAAGGGCATTTTCTAAGTTTGACTGTGATTATACACTAAGTTCATTGTGCGATGAACCCCCTCTCCTCCCTCCCCTCCCACGTTTCAAAACGCTTTGCCGCCCCTGGATCATATAAAAATTCAGTTACGCCGTTTGCAGTAATGAAAGAGTCTAGTGTGGATGGGGGTACACGGGAGAAAGAGGGAATCTCTTACTGATGCCTCTGAATACTTTGTTAAGAGTCACCTCGTGAAATGTCTACTGCTAAATTATAATTATCGTTGATATTATTATTTTATCATTATCATTACTACTGCTCACCACAATTTGGCCATTGCAGTTAGTTTTTTATATTTTACAAAGTACTTGTAGACGCTAGCATATAGATTACGACGTTTACAGGAGAGTCTCTTAGATATCGATAATCACACAATACCTACCCTCCCCTTGCTCTCGTTTTTCGACAACAACAGCAGTAGATGCAACATCCTATTGTCACAAGCAACACGAAACCCGCCACAGGCAGGGCAATGAGAAGAATTTTTCCAGTGACTAAAGGAAAAACATTTCAATACAATCTTTAATATCCAGAAAACAATTGTTGAAAAAAAAACTTAAAATCGTTCCTTTTGAAGCTTTGGTTGGGGCAACTTATCGAATGAGAATGTTTCTCATGTTT